TTGCGCTGATCATTTCTTTCTGCCGTGTTGCATTGTGTACACATGAATCGATAGCTTCCGTAATTGCCATTGGATCTGGACTGCAGCAATCTGTGTCAATGAATCTCATCCTACCCCCTTGCGTTGTATTGACCCGGCTCCTGGTCCCACGGCCGTAATGGGTTCTGCTCTAATGAAAGCACCGGCGCTGCCTCAAGTTCGCTCGCTGCTTTGTGGAGTAACTAAAAGGGACGCTCGCCCGGTCGCCGCTGCTGCACGGGACGAAAGGCGAGCAGATGTTTAGGTAACGGGGGAGAGGAAGGTGCGCGGCTAACGGAAAGGAAAGAAACAAGTAAGTAAGAGTGATGAGATAGGAGGAAAGAAATCACTCAGCCCAACGGAGATTTAGACGCAGCATTATACGGCACGGATCATTATTCCTTCAAGCCACCCCGACAAAAAGTTGACCCGGGCACCCCCCCCCCCCCCTCCTTAAGAGCACCCTTTGCAGATGCAGGACCTAATGATGGAGTCAGCCGCCACTAGGAGCACCTCATTGTTTCCTCCATGTGAAAAGTGAAATAAGGGCACAACATGGCTCTTAAATCTGCCCCGAATGCAGCCATGCAGACGCTTTATTGCCCCTCGGTGCCGTGGTTCATAGGAGCAGCTACATTTTTATTTCTCTGGCGTAAAGAGCTCTTTCCTGCTGCCGGAGAGCCTTTTCACTGCAGCCTCCCTTCTGAAAGTGCCCCTCGATCTCAGGACGAGAATGGACAGAACGAACGGCGTGATAGCATACAGATACGTGTGGAAGAAATGTGTTTTACCAGGTTATTCGCTCTGAAATATGTATGTAAGTATTCAAGCAGTGTGAACTCAGCACTTTTTTATTACGCCTGTGAAAACGCGTGGCCGGTTTTGCGCTCTGAGCACCACAAGACCCTGGAGCCCAAATTCACCCCGGGGAGGTTGCAGCGATCGTAAGTTGGGGGTTGTGGCTTTTCCCAACATTTTGTAATTTTTGGTTTCATCAGCGGCAGTTTATATATTGTGACACATGTATTTCATGTTTGTAAGCGCTCCCACACAGATGTAAATCCAACGCAAGTGTTGAAGGGATTCTTCAGTTTTACTTCCAGGAGGAAGTTTGCTGACTTTTTGCTTGAAGACTCGAAACACTTCAGACACTTAAAGTGAAGCGGCCAACTGGAATTGAGCCTTCGTTAAACTGATCCATTTCCTGACTGTGAGAATCTGAAATAGACTTATTCATTTGCGACCATGAGTTGTTGAGTCCACGGAAATGTACCATGTCCGGTTGAATTAACTCGCAGAAAGCAAGACGCCACGTCATTACACACCCAGCGGAATGTTGATGTCTTCTCGCAGAATGTCACAGAGTTCTACCTGCAATTTAAAAAGTGCGGCCGTCTCCTCGGATGCCAGATGGATCGATTGCGATCGCTGCACCCCTCGTTGCCGGATAGTGGAACTCTGCTGCTGTAATGAAGTTGCTGAATCAAGTGATGGTGGTCATTGAGGCGTTTTGTTACTGCCCGTGTCTACTCGCATCCTGCGGCATTCTCCTTTCTACCTGCTCTGTTATTGCTGTTCTACCGGGTCTCAATTTGACTCCTGCTCGTGGCTCCTTCTGGGTCCTGGTAGAACCTTTTTTTTAAAAGGTTCTTTCTTTTTCTTTCAAAGGGTGCGGAAAACGATCTCCGGCCTGTCACACGGAGCAAAAAGGGTCAGTTTGGACCTTAATGTCGTCCGGCTTGTATTGGAAACTGAACTGCAATCATCACGTCACTTCTTCAGAGTCCGATTGCCTGTTGGAGAGGCGTCACCATGGCAACCTGTGACCAGCTGCAGAACTGTTTGAACTAATAAAGAAAGAAATGCTACGCCTCCACTTAAATTACAGCTTTTTCCACCGGCGTCGATTCTGAATGACGTCATCGCGGCTGCATTGCATTGTGGGGTATTTAATGCCGGCGTAATGCCCAGTGTGCTGGTTTGGTTTCACAGAACCGGCCGTGGAAATGGCCCAGTATTGATCCGGATACCTTGATATGTTGCAAATAATATTAGTCAAAGTTTTTAGGCTCGGGTGAAATTACTCACATAAGAAATCTGTGTTTTAGTTTTGCATGACTCATAAGTGTTGTTCCACAATGGATCATTTTGTTCTTTTTTCAAGCACAAACATCGCTGGAACCAGCAAGCAATCAGTTTCACTTCCGCCGCGCTAATGACTCAATATCCACCCAGAACATAATCCAACACAAAAAGGTTTTAAACTTGAAACCCCTGCAAGAGCCAAATGGACACAACCTTTCTAGGATGTCTAGCTCTATGATTAATACCATCCAACTCCCCATAAATCAGTTCTGACTTTTAGAAGCCAATCACAGTGTTCTGTCACCTGAAGGAGAATATAAAGTATCTGGACTACTTAATCAGACCAGTTTGAGTTAGGCTTATCTAATATTACAACACTGACTTTATAGCATTAAGATTTTTTACTTTATTCATTTGCTTTAAATCAGTCTTTTAAAATGTTTCCTAGTTTCAAGTCGTGCAAGTAGAAGATATTTTGCCTCCATTTAAATAGAGCTCCACTTCTCTTTTAAAAACTGGATGCCGCTGGATGTACTTCACTTTAAAATGGAGCCAGTTTATAAATCACTTGTCACACGTTTATTTATCTGGGCTCCGGGTTACCTTTTTGTACCGTTAATATGACACAAGTGAGCGTGGCTGTTTTAAAATGTTGTGTGTCACGTGGCGCGGTAGATTTCATTTTCATTAATAATTGAAAAGCCACCGAACTTGGAGCTATAAATAAATAAGCCTGTCTCCCGAAGGATTGTGTGTGTGTGTGGATAGATTGGCCCTGTCGGTGATGAGGGGATTACTCTCGTACGCGCCGCGTGGTTTAATGAGACAGGAATAACAACATGGACGGTGTTTAATTGCTCTGCTATCGGACCGGATGGGTTCATTGAGATGTGATTAGACGCCGGGTGCGACGGGCTCAGCAGCCCCGCTGACCTGCTGTTATTCGATTGTTCTTCAGCGTGAACGGCCGATGATGAGACGCTCCGTGACGCTCGTGTTCGTTAACCCCGTCCAGCGAAAAGCCCCGAGCGGTCCGACGCTCGTCACGACACGAGCTGATTCCGCTCCGCGCCTTTCACTTCCCTCCAGGTTCCCGCCGAGAGTCGGAAACCGAGGCAGGGATTATGAAGTGTGTTGTTGGAGACGACAATGAAGAGGATAAAGCTCCTCTCCGCTGTTGTTGAGGAGGTCGCGACCTCTCTCAAAGTGTGTCTTGAAATAGGCAGCAAGCACAGTGTTTCCAATCGATTTCAAACACTAATCCAGGCCAGATGTGTTGTTTTATTTGACTTAAAGTATCGTGGGATCCATTTGCAGAGACGGACGAAATGCCGAAGGAAACGAAATGGCAGCGACGGGTTTTTGCACTCCTGCCACTTGTTTTGCTTCAAACAGGCTTTCTGGACGGAGCGGCGCTCTTCTATCTGGAGGCTTCTCTCTAAAACGGCACAAAGTGTGGACTGAACTGTGCTTTAATTCCGCAGAGAAACGTAACCTAAAAAGGAGAGAAGAAAAGCGCCGGCCAGGCCTCGGATACACTGGCGGTGTGTGTGTGTCGGTGGAGGGGGGTGGGGGGGGGGTGACCGTGCTGCCTTTCAGGGCCCGTCTAGTGCCGGCTCTCCACGGGGACCTCGCAGAGTATCACCTTCTCTCGGCCCATCGCTCCTTCTCTTAAGGTTTTCTAAAGGTCTTTTAAATCTATCTAAGAAACCTTCATAGAATGTTCCTTGATGGTTCTATTTAGGTTCCCTAGGAGAACATTCCCTGAACGCTTGAATCTTTCAGATGATTTTGCCCTTTGGCAGCGTTGAGGTTGAGCGTGGTCCCTTTCCTACTGGGCTGCTGGTGTGTGAATTTGTGCGTCAGTGCACTGACAGGCTCGAAACAAGAGGGTTCGGAATGGAAAGGACAGGTCACAGTAAACTAATGTAAGACACGAGAAAAGACAAATTCAAGGTTCGCAGCTCGAGCTCAGCCACAGCCGAGGCTCTAGCGTTTCTCAAATTAATAATTCATTGTGCTGAAACGGTAGCAAATAGCAGCAGCGGTGACACCATTAGCCGTTAATAACATTCAAGGCCTCGTGCACAGTTCTTCATACACAAACAATCTGTGCTTAAGTATGAAGTTTTTTTTTATCCATGTAAAAAGTCATTTCCGAATCGAGCCAGATGTGTTTGTTTGTCTGACCACGAATCGAATGTGCTCGGCCTTAACAAACCTCCTCTGAGGGGAGTGCTGAGATGAGAAATGTCTGAGCAAACAAAAGGGTTCTAACGGCGCTACGCCACAAAGAAACCAACCCGAGGCAGCCTTCTCTTTCCTTTTGATCCTTCGCGTTCTTTTTATCCTCAATTGTCACATTTTCATGAGCTAATTTTACAATGCGTCTGTTTCTTTGGCCAAAGAAGAACTAGATAAACAAGTATTCTTGGGAAGTCTGACAGATGAAAGATGTTATATTATTGTTAGTAGTGCAAAAGATATTGGATAAGTTAAACGTGACTCTATCTATCTATCTATCTATCTATCTATCTATCTATCTATCTATCTATCTATCTATCTATCTATCTATCTATCTATCTATCTATCTATCTATATCTCTATCTATATCGATCGATATAGAGATAGATATATATATATATACATTAGATATATATATGTACTCTCCAATTAACTCTGTTAATAAATGTGAAACTTCGGTTATATTGAGTTAAACGTTTATGAATAGCAGGCAAGTACATTAAAAATAGGAGATACACTTGGATGTGTACTTTTGTTCAAAGATGTATGAAGTTTGTATGAAGTTTGCGTGGAAATTTTCCAAAGGGAAAGCAGTCACGTGACTCTTCTCTCACGACCTGCCGTCCTGTGCCGTCTTTTTGTCCCCCCTGTAGGAGACATGTCCCCCTGCCTGTCCAGGCCACACAGGCGCCGGTGGCGGCGGGCTGCAGGAGAGCCGAACCCCGACGCCAGTGGAAGTCGGCTTCCTTTGGGTACAGTAAGATGCTCTTTTCTATTAAAAGTGTTTATGATGCAGCCGGTAGAGCGGGCCGACCTCGGGGGGGCTTCAAAGGATGGAGAGAATTTTCAAAGACGCCCCCACACCCCCGACGCTGCTGCTTCGTCATCAAGCAATGTCCGCCTAATCCCTAACGCACTTCTCTGGCTCGTGTGCAGCCCCCCCTCCCCAAAAACAATCAGTCCCGGTGCAACTCGTGCTATTTTCAAAGCGCAGTGTTCAGTGAGTTTTGTGATGAGGAGGAAACATCCGAGGGTCGTGTTTTTAGACTTTCGGTAACGCTGCAGAAATGGAGAAATTGCCACTTTTAGGCCGAACAACGGATCCCTCCTTTCGTGTTGTTGGCTCTCACACTGGGGGCATTTTCCACCGAGTTTATTCCTCTGCAGCGCAGCAGCTCGCTCGCACACTCGGGAATTGACCCTTACCCGTCGAATGAAGACGGTGGAATATCGTTTTGCTGATTTGTTTCAGATCGTTGGGTTTTGACTTTAGTCCTCAAGATGTCAGAAAACGTAGTATGAGCAGGCGACACAAACACCGACGTCCTCCACACAGAGGGTCAGAATCACACACACACACTTTTTAATGGACAGGGTAGAAGTTGGTGCGTGAATCAAACTGAAAGCAACATTTTTCATAAAGTCCTTGATCTGTCGTGTTTTGACTTTTTCCGCATTTTTTTTTTTTCCTCAATAGAAAAAGAAAATAACACTCGACATGACGCGTCAGATCGGAATCCAGGGTGTCGCGGTTATTTTGTGTGCGTGCTGTAGATCACCGACTCGCAGGAAATGTGAAAAAAATGGAATAAGAGATTCCGTGCGAGGCTCCCAGCGAGCGAGCGAGCGAGTGATTGATCTCTGTGTTTTCCGACGGTGCTTCAGAAGGAAGCGGGACAGAAATATTAATCACTCTGCCGTCGGAGAGCTGCTGCGGCGTGCCCTCTCCAGTACGCCGAATCACTGCGCTTGTTTCACATGTTTTGTCGTTAAAGGAAACTGATTGCAGGACGCGTTCTTAGACGCTATTCAGCAGAATGATTTCGTTGCGAAAAAACAAACGAAATTTGCATTTTTATTGGAGCCCACTGGATCGAAGCCTGCTGTTATTTTTTCCGACATCTGTTGGCTGCGCTCGCTGCCGTTAGAACCTGAGAAGAGGCTGTGACCCACCAAAGAAGTCCTCAATCCACCAACTATGGATTTGTCTATTAATTGTTTAGTTAATTTCATTGAATTTACACGTAGAATCGCATAAAAGCTGCACTTTAAGTCTGGGGATGTTTGCTGGGATGCATTTGAATGTTTGCGCCTACTGTGAATTTTCTCCTTGACTTTTCTTACAATAATTGTGCTCCTCTTTTTTCCCGACGAAAAACAAATCCCATTCATTCAACTGATCCGCTGTGTCTTTTGACATTTTATGTAAACCACTTCAAATTGCCTCGATGCTGCAAACCGCCGTATTAATAAAGCTGGCTTACCGTGCAAAGGCAACATGATGTCTTGGATGTGATCTGTGTGTGGCGTAGTTTACTAACCGTGAAGGGCGGCTGCGTTGATTCCTTCCTTCAGCCTGCTGAGGTGATCTGCAAAAGGCGAGTAAATGCAGAACCGTAAGACCACAGACCGTTGTCTGTTCACTGACCCAAACGGGCAAATTATTTAAGCGTTTGTCTTTTAAACTGTCCATATTGCATGTTTTCTTAGGATTAAGATCTATCTAAATTTGCCACAATGTCATCCGTGGTCCTCTGAGTGTGAACAGGTGGTAGTTTGCTGCAGACTACAGATGAGAAATAGCCTTTTGTCTTATTCTGCCCTTTTTAGCATTGTTCTCGCTCCGAAATAAATCCTACAGTAACCCGACATGTTCCTCGAGGTGTTGGATGTCTCTGTATTCCTGACTTGCTCGCAGCTGCTAATGAAAAGCTGGTACGGTGACAAAAAAAATGTTGGAACTGAATTAACAAAATGAAAAAGATAAATCTATATATATATATATATATATATATAATATATTAGACACTTTTTACTTTCCATTACAGCCAATCTAAGTGAAAGAGGCCAAAATGGCTTTTTAATCTGCTACGCTTTGTCAAACTAAAGTAGGACAACTGAAGCGCAGCAGCAAAGAGCCGTTCGTTTAGTCCATTATAATAAACAGTGAAACAAATCATCGAAAACATTCACATTCACTTACAAAGCTATAATTATGTAAACCATTTTGCTCTTAGAACACTTGGGTATCAACGAGGATGCATAAATCTATTAACTGTTCCAGCTAGATTTGTGAAAGCGACATTTTGTGTTGTTTTTTAAAACAAACAAGTGAACTAGGTTTCTCCTTCACGTTGGCTAGCTAGCTAGCTAGCTAGCTCGGTAAGCTCAGCTACATGCTAATACGATGTTATCTTACTGGGTGCATTTCATCCAGCGATAAAACAAGCTTCTCTGATGTGTTTGAAGTCCCTTTTGTCCCTTTTACTCTCTATCATTTTGACCAATGCTTCATTGTAAAAACGATCCCCTTTTGTAGCCACTGTGACGCACTTTTCCGCTCTCTTCCGCTCTCTTGTCTCCTCTCTCCTCTCACAACTGCTTTGTGTGTTTCGCTGAGGGAAGGAGAGTCAGAAATGATCTAAAAGCGCGCGGCTGCAACTTGAAACGGGCGGGAAAAAGTAGCGCGTGTGAATATTGCATCTGACGTAGGAATAGAGATGGCGGCGTCGACAGAGGAGGAAAATAAGCCGGCTTCCTCTGTGGCAGCTCCTCTGTTCCATGAAGACGAGGCGCGTTTTAACCGATCGCCTGTGCGGCAGCTTCAGTATTCATCGCCTGCAGCTGCCGTCTAGTTCATTCCTGTCCACCGTCGAGGCCTCGCTGCCCCATCAAGCCCGGCTCAAGGCTGAATGAACGCTTTTAAATACCAAAGATGCTTCCTTATTCCCTTTTTTCCTCCTCACTTCAAGCCTCTTTTGATTTCCAGATGTTCTCTCTTTTTCTTCCGCTCAATCCCAAAAACGTCTGCACCGTCCCGTCTGCTTGACGAATAGATGGTCGGGGCCTTTGAAGAGGTTAACGAAAGGCTGGCCGCTCGCCGCGTAAGTGTAAATCTTCCCGCGCGCGTTAACGTCCCGCTCTCGAAGCTGCTGCGATATTACCGAACGCTCGTAAAGCTGTCATCGGCGCACTGCTCGCCGTGTCGGCGGCCCGGGCTCTGGTTTGCCGTCAGACCGTTGGCTCGGATCTGAACCAGCGGCTCCGTCATACGTCTAAATAATTCAAACGCTTTGTAATATTCATTACGGTGAGCGAGTCTCTCGGAGCAGAACCTGTGATTATCTCCAGGCCCTCTAATAATACCTCTGCAGAGCCTATTGATTGCCTCCGCGGGACCACAGCCCCCCCCAGCCGGTGGGTAATTTGCTGGTTGAAGGCGGCTCGCCAGGTGGTGATGGAGTCGCGCGCTGTGACACGTGCAGCAGAAAATGGCGAAAATCTCGCCACGTGGAGGTTCGCGACCTCCGCCCAGTAACGCAGCAATGACAAGTTTCTTCCTCCTAGAAAATTCCTTCTTTAATGGCTTTGACTTCACAGGAACCTTTCAATGATATTCGCGCCCCGTGAAACAGTCTTTGAAGTTCCCGGCGTCTGTAATTACAGGAAGCCGGATCGCCGGGCGGGGGCCCGTGATGCGGCCGTGTGGCTTCGGTCTCCATGTGCGTTATGCCGCTTGCTACACTTGATTGAAAAAATGTTTTTATTGCTTTAAATAGGAATCCACTAAAGAAAGCAGAAAAAATAGCAACTGTCAATTAGTTAGTAATGAGTCAATGATGGCTGATTGTCACGTGCGTTTTAGGCACCGCGCATATCTGAAATGATGCTGCAGGGAGACGTTGTGGATAATCCGATATTCAGTCCACAACTTTCCACCCCTGTAAAATATATGTCTACAAAAAATGACAAATTTTCATTCCTTTTTAAACGTTCTGAGAATTTGTTACAGTATTGAAAAGATTTTATTCTGATTTATAGGCTTCCCTGGACCACTGACACTCACACAATGTTTAAATTTAAATGACAGATCCTTAAAACTAAATTTCTCCACAAAAAAAGTCCCACTAAAGCGCCACGTTAAACCTCGTTTTCTTTTTGTTTCTTCAATGGAAAAACAAAAAGAACGTCTCTTAGAAAGTGACCAATCCAATGAAGACATCCCGAAATGAAGGATCAAAAAAATGTAACCAGCAGTATTTTATAATCTTCTCCAATGTCACAATTTGCTGTTCTTCTCCGTTTATTATTATGCGTAATCAAAGCCTGAACAGATCTGAGTTTGAGTGGTTCAAACCTCTTTGTTGAACAAGGCCCGAACGGCTTCGACGTCCCATCACGTGTCGTCGCTCAACGTGTCCTTGAGGTAATTCTCCCCTCAGTTCCACCTGTGCTTTTCTCACAGGCGAGAGGAGTGAATCCCAGCGAAAGCTTCCGATTACCGCGACTCAACATTAAGCCGTAATAACCGAGTCCCCCTCTGACACGCTATCACAGCTCCAAAGGCTGCAACCTCCTGCCTGAGAATCACACAGAAGCCGGCGCGCCCTCGGGGTAATTGGCCCTGACATTATCCCAGATACGGTCGTGACACTTGTGAAATATTAATTACCATGGTTTTGCAGCAGATAAATAAACGGTCGTGCGATCGGTGTGCCGGAAAAGGCGGGTTGATTACAAAACCAGGTGTTTTTGTTGTAAATCTGATTGGCGGGAGTCTCTGTTTTTCGTCACGGTTGAACGGTTGCGTTGTGCTCGCAGGTCTTCTGCGGTACTGAAAGGTCGCCCACCTGTCTGGCATCAGGTGTTACATTTCACGATAAAACCATGTGTGACACTGGTGTGATTTGAAAGGCCTCCGGGTGATGCTCAATGAACGCTTCTCTTCTTTCAGCGTATTTCAGCGGCCCGT